GTTGGAGCATTAATAATCTGACCAATAATGTAACTGCTGTAAGGTTACTGTGCTAACAGAGCGTCAGAGAAGAGTTAACCAGGACGTATGTAAACCAGGGACAGTTGATAACTTACTCCACAAAATAAAGAACATTCAAAAAACTCAGGAGGTTCGATGTGTGCGTGTTTGTGTGTGTGTGTGTTCTCACCGATGATGCTCTTCGTGTAGTGGTACGGTTCACTCATGAAGTGCGTTACCCCCATCAGAAGAGAGGCCAGGCAAGCGAGCAGCGCTCCAGCGCCGATGTACCGTGGCCGATGGACTCGACTCCCAAAGAAGCTCACAAAGATGATGAGGATGGTGTTTCCCACCTGTACTCAGACACACAACATCTGTGATGTCAGACTAACATCAAAGATTTCCAATCCGGTCACCTTGAGGTTCATATTGAGGTTTTTGTTTGTTTTCATCAAAAGGACAACGAAAACATCTCAAACAGAAAGCTTAGACCTCGTTCCCATTATCATTCATTTACCGCCATCTTGCATCGTATACTGGACTGTATCTCAAACCAAAAACAAACTTGTGACTTTCTGAAGAGCCGTGAATTCATTAAGCAGGAGTTCAGAGTCCTAGCTGGACTGACCTCGTTGAAGGAGGCCAGGAGCCCAGACTTCTGGCTGGATAGGCCGTAGCGCCTCTCGATGGTGGAGATGGAGCTCTTCATGTAGCCCGACACCAAAAGCTGGGCCAGCTGCAGCAAACTGTGGCAAAACACAAAGAACTGCAAACAGAAGAAGACAGAAAGTCAGAAAACGTATTTTAACACAAGCTGCAGTTCCCCTTACGTCCACACGAGGCAACAAACTGACAAAAAGACCGACAGGCTGCGTTAAAACCTCCGAAGTCCAACTTTGCCGACTTAAATTCTGACATTTTATTTGGCTTTACTTCACACTAGTTACCAAACCTGCTAACATTAGCATTTGAGAATCTATAGGTGGTAACTTGTAGCTCCACCCACAGTGCAGACGTAACCTGAGGGTGGTTACATCCATCGTGCTGTGAGAGAATCTGTTTCTGGCTCAGTTTCAGCTCAACGTGAACGGTACAGACAAGAAACAGTATTTTTCTTTGCCCCGAGCTCGTCCTGGGATCATGTGACTGCAGAACAATTCCAGGATGAAGCTCCGGATGTGAAGCTTCAGTCCCACAGGTTCCAGTGTTTAGACAGGCCAGCTTTTAAATCTCTCCGCTGCCTGAAGGGATCTGACCTCTGACCTTGCCCACTTCTGATTTCACTGTCACAGGCATTGCTACAGCGCCATGTGATCCAGACTAACGACCCCAGCTGAGCGTTCTTCTTCATCACTTTAAACAGTGAAATCAGATCTTTGTGGGACGAGCTGTTAGAGACAAGCCTTAACCACTGGAACATCTGTCTGACACAACATCGGCCTTTAACCGTTTACTGTCCACCGTTTTCACCCAGCAGGCCTCATACGAGCCTGGTCCGAGCACCACTCCCACTTTTTCAGCTCTAAGTTTGAAATAAACAATAAATGTTACAAATTTCCTTCAACTCATCTTTTCTTTCTTTCCTTTGTTGTATTCCCTTCCTTTCTCCCTCAGTCCTTTCCTTCTTTCCTTCCATCCTATCTTTGCTGTGGCGCTGCAGACAAACCTTGATGCTGTTGAAGAGACTCCTGGATCGAGCAGGAGCTCGTAGGCTTCTGGGGTCAGAGGTCATGTTGAGGCTGTTGACTCACACGGAGACTGAAGAGTGACCCTGTGAACCACAAACATGGGTGAACCTGCCAGTCATCTCTTTTATTCAGCAGAAAGTCCAGCACACACAGCCCGACACACTCATGCTGAGCAAACACTACCTTCTAGAAGTACTGAGCGCACACACACACACAAAAACACACAAACACACCTACACACACACACACACACAACCCCATTCAGCTATCTTAGTGAGGACCTTCATTGACATAATGCTTTCCCTGACCCTAAACCTAACCATAGCCTAATTGTAACCCTGACACTAAAACCACAAATTTAAAGGCTTCAGATTTGTGAGGACTGGGTTGTGTGTCCTCACAAGTGACTGTTGGTTCTCACAAGTTTAGCAGAATGCAGATTTTGGTCCTCACACACACACACAGGGCGTGTGAGTGTTTGGATTTAGAGCTGCTGAGAAAAACGTTGATGGTTCTGAGGGTGATTTGACACGGCGCCACAGAGCAGCAGGTCAGCACCTCTGCGACGGACAGGTGGATGCTGACACAGGTGTAGCTGCTAGCTTCACCTGCACTGGACCTCTGGATGTGTTTGCGCTGTTCGAGCCGTCTGCAGCATTTTTAAAGAAGAATGATGAAAGCTTTGGTCGGAGTGTTTTCACTATCAGCAGCACTGAATGCTCATTGGCTCAGTTAGTAGCCACAGTGCATACTTTGGATTTTCTTCATGTTGACAAATATGAATTTGCAAAATTAACTTCATTTTTTATTAAAAATGACCTGAAAAGGCTGTTTTCCCATCGGCTTCTGTCCAACCAGCTCTTAGACTGTCAGTGTTTCGATGGACGCTTCAAGCAGAGGAACTGCGTTCACCAGCTGACGGCACATTAGCGTTCACCCTCTGGGCACCATGAATGTCTGTGAAGAAGTCTTCACTTCATCGTGGACCAGTACGGTGGACTGACTGATGTTAGCACAGCCATCATGGCGAAGAGCATCGGGAGTCTGGTTCGAGGCTTTTATTGTGAAGGGCAAAGGACCAGAAGACAAATGTTGATGTTTACCAAGAAGGTCAAAGCTTTTTTTTTTATCTTTGAAAGAGTTTTTTCCCCCTAAAAAGGAACTGAATGTGAACAAAATTCACAAGAATGTGTTTGATCTGTGCTGTGTGACGTATTTCCATAATCAGGCTAAAATACAAAGTCAACAACAGGAAACAGTGTGGTAGAAGGAGGTGGACATGACAGGAAGTAGCTTCTTATCTTAGACTTCAACCGATTCTGTGACAGATTTTATCAGAGCCACAAACAGACGACCTTCCTGTGTGAAGATAAAACCGATGACCTCCTCCCTCTGCCTCCACACAGACTTCACGGAGTGAGGTGAGCAATCATCACCTCGGCAGCATTTCCTGATGGTTGGAATAATCTGAATGTTTGTAATGAAGGAAACATTTTCCTTTGGCCAGTTTTTCAGGTCTTCCGTGTTGCCAGTTTTGCTCATCACTGTTCGTGAACATGCTCGATCTGGAGATCGCTGATGGTTTCCCCGGTGCCTCTCCAACCAAAGCTACAATGGGATTGGTTGGTTTTTGTTGGACTACTGAAAGAAGAAAAATCCTTGAAGGTGTCAGGAAACAATTTCCAGAAGATGTCCTACACGTCGGGTCAAAGACAAGTTCTTTTTGTCAGTAGATTAAATGTTTGACAGCCAGCACAGTGTTTGCTGTGCAGCCTGGGCTAATGAGTAACCAGGATACTGATAGCTTATCACACAATCAGGCCCACTCATGGCTCTGAGTACAGGCTCCTCACATCGTCACCACGTCCCTGAAGAACGAGCAACCTGGGAATAACTAATGCCATGCAGGTCATGACATCATTGTTAACTTTAGAATCAAGATTTAAACACATTTTATGATTTCTGTTAATATAATATTGGAACTCTGTGACTGAGCCTGGCTGCTGAGCTCATTATGCTGGTCTCAGACCAGAACACATCTGATCATGTTTAGCTCCTCGTGGTCGCCATGACTGTAAAGGCCGTGTCACACACCAAACAGCTTAAACCAGCTCCAAGCTCGGATTCATTTATTCCAACTAACAACACAAAGAGTCTGCAGCCAGCTTTTCTCTGTCTGAAGCAACGTCAAGTTACACTGCAACACGACGGCTGAGCTGTCACACACACACACACACACACACACACACACACACACACACACACTCACACTCGCGTACTCACAGCTTTAGTGAAAAGTCCCAGCTGTCCCACTAAAAGCCTGAAACCTCCCACAGGGAAAAACACTCACTGTGTAGCTCGTCTCTCTGCTGCTCTCACTTCGCTGCAGCTCCGACTTTCTGTTCCACTCAAGCTGTCAACACACCTCCAACTCACTGAGGAAAAGGAGGAGACAACAGGAGCAAGGAGAGTGGTGGAGTTTGAACCCTCCTTCTGTGTTAAGACAGTCTGTGAAAAAAGGAAA